CCAGCAGAAGCTGGAGGAGACGCGGCCGCCGCCGCCGCGGATGCGCCCGGTGCCGTCGCTGGTGCCGCGCCCGCCCCAGACCTCGCTGGTCAAGTTCGTGGGGAACATCTACACCCTCAAGTGCAGGTGGGATCCCTCCCCGCTCCGCAGGGAGCCGCTTCTCTCTTTTTTGGGGCGCTTTGAGGCTCTTTGGGTGTCCTTGTTCCCCCTGTATCCCATCCCTAATTCCCGTTATCCCACACAGTGGGTGTCCCTGTCCCCCTGGGTGTCCCTGTGTCCCTAATCCCATATCCCATCCCCAATTCCCGTTATCCCACACAGTGGGTGTCCCTGTCCCTGTGTCCCTAATCCCATATCCCATCCCTAATTCCCGTTATCCCACACAGTGAGTGTCCCTGTCCCCCTGGGTGTCCCTGTGTCCCTAATCCCATATCCCATCCCCAATTCCCGTTATCCCACACAGTGAGTGTCCCTGTCCCTGTGTCCCTAATCCCATATCCCATCCCTAATTCCCATTATCCCACACGGTGTCCCTATGTCCCTAATCCTGTATCCCATCCCTAATTCCCATTATCCCTCAGCCTCTGAGGCTCTGGATGTCCCTGCATCCCTCTGCATGTCCCTAATCCCATATCCCATTCCCTGATTCTGATATTCCCTGGCAACCTCCGAGGCTCTGGGTGTCCCTGTGTCCCTCTGGATGTCCTGTATCCCACCCCTCCTCCCAATATTCCCTGGCAGCCTCCAAGGCTCTGGCCATCCATCCCATTGTCCCTCTGTGCATCCCTGTGTTCCTAATCCCATCTCCCATCCCTAATTCCCCCTCATCCTCCGAGGCTCTGGCTATCCCCATATCCCAACCCCAATTCCCAGTATTCTCATCCCTTTTTTTTTTTTGGGATTGGGGGGGAGTCTCTTTGCCGTGTGACTCCCCCGCCCCGTCCGACTCGGCTGTGCCCGCAGGTTCTGCGAGGTGGAATTCCAGGGCCCGCTGTCGATCCAGGAGGAGTGGGTGCGGCACCTGCAGCGGCACATCCTGGAAATGAATTTCTCCAAAGCGGATCCGTTGCGGAGCGAGGCCCCTGCGCCCCCCGAGCCCCCCGCCCTGGCCGAGGCTCAGTAGCGCCGTCCCAGACCCGGCACAGGGAAAAAAGCGGCCGCGGGAGCCGCCGGAACATCCTCACCACCCCCCCCTCTCCCCACTCCCCGCTCCCACCATCCCGTAGTTTTTGGGAAAGGCGGGGCGGGCGGGGCCCGGATCGATCGCTGCCTTCGCCCCCTCCGGAGCGTTTTTCCCCCTCCTCGTCCCGGGGATGAGCTGGGGGGGGGGATGGGGGGGCCACAATCCCGGCCACAAGCACTACATGGATCACGGATCAGACCCTCGGGAATCCCTCGGGAATCCCTCGGGGCGGCACTCGCTGGATCGGGGCGGGAACCACTCGATGCCGGGACGGGGCGTGGGGGAGGCCGAACCTCCTCCGTCCCCCCCCCTTTTTCCTCGCTTCCCAAAATCCGTGTTTTTTTTAACCCAAAGAACAAAACGGTGTCGCCTTTTCCCGGTGGCGATTCGGGCCGGAGCCGGGGCCGGAGGGAATTCCGGGCGCGCTCCCGGAAAACGCTGTGGATTTTGTACATGACCCCTTCGAGTTGCTGTATATTCCAGTTTTCTTTTTTTTTTTCCATAGGCGCCGGTCGGGTTTAGTGGCGCGTAGATGTCGGAATCCCTTCGGTTCCGGGGTTGCATGTTCCCAAAATCCCCCTTTTCCCCGCACCGAAACGCCGCCGCCTCCCTCCCGCCCTTCCCACCGCGGCCAAACTCAAAATCCCACCGGATTCGCCCTCCTCTTTCTGCTGCTGATTCCCGGGAGTTTCTCCGTGGGGGAGCTCACCAGTGGGAGCTGGGAAATCCCTGGGGAATTCCGGCGTTCCCAGCCGGAAGCGGCCGCGGCGGCGCCGGGAGGATTCGGCTCAGTTTCTCCTTTTCCCAGTTTTTTTTTTTCCCGGTTCCACTGTTGCTTTGTTGTTTTTTTTGTTTTTTT